ATTCCCTGCACTGGCTAAAATAACTAGTGCAGGTTTGCGTCGGCTCTCTCACATATCGTGTTTGTATGTTAATCATCACGAGCTGGCTGGTTTTTAGTCAATCCGTTGTACACGGTATTTTTCAGTTGTCAGCTGACCACACAGTACTCAAACTCGGAGACTTTGGTCTTGCTCGTGCGACTGAAGGGACACGTCAAACAAAAACCCAGATTGGCTCGTATCGTTACATGGCGCCTGAAGTGGTCACCTCTGGGGGACGTTATTCCAAGAGAGCTGATGTTCATAGTTTTGGTGAGTTTTACTGTTAGTTAAAGTGAGTATTAATTACCTTTCTCACCGTTTTGTTTGTTTGTGTATTTGCCCACTATTTTGCTTGTCTGTTATGTCCCTGAGACCGGATAATATACCTTGTCTTTAAAATACAGCTAAATACATATCCGGCCTAATTATTAAGGAATAAGGAGGTACTAGAGTATGTCCTAATAAATTGTCTTCGCTATAAATTTATAGTATTTCAGATCCTTTAGATATCCGTATCCATAAATTGACATCAAGTTAATATCGATCTCCAAAAATATTTTTGTATTAGATTCCATGGGAATATGGCCCTATCAACTAAGGTTTTTTTAATTTGATTACGCCAGGTTTGTGTCTGATTGAAGTCCTGAGTGGCAGGGAGGTGTATGATAACATTCTGCAGCATGAAACGGTTTTCAGCAAGAAAATGGCGGGAGAGAATCCGACCATTCCGGTGGGTAGAAACGAACAAAAATTTTAGAAAATTTTCAAGGATAATGGTGAAATAAGTATTGACTATTGACAATTATTTACCAAATTAGAGATAGATATCCACCACTTTCAGTTACAATGAAAGTGAATTAATATCTAAGTGTAAATAAAAAGAAAAAAACCTGACAATTAGTTTGTTTCTGTCAATATTCCCTACTTGGTTGGGAATTAAACTACTGACACGCGGTTTGTCTTTTCATCTGTACGAAGGTGAATAGTACTGGCTAATCACTTCCGAGCTAACCAATCGGCGTGCGCGAAAAACACTATATCTATGTAGTAATTAGTATTATAACGAGTGAGGACAACCTGCTACCTGTGAATCTTTCGACCAGAAAGTTTTTCTATAAATCACTGGAGGGGTCCAAACATTAGCTTTTAAACATACGAGTTGTGGACGAATTACTTATGGTTACGACAGAGTCACTCCATGTATTATCGGTAATTCGTTGGTAATGTTTTATATCTAAGAGCGCTCGCATTTTTTCCAGAATATTCCTATTGAGGAATTTGGGGAGGAACTGGTTTTAAAGCTAAAAGAAATTATAGATGGGTGTCTGAAGCCCGAAAAATCACGACCCGAAATGAATTTTCTACTCAACATACTAAGAGGACAAATAACTTCACGCAAAATCACAGTGCAGCTTTACTGCGTGGGGACTGGAACAGGAACAACAGGTACTGTAGAAACTGCACACTTTTTTTTTCTTTTTTACAGTGTAAAATAGATCGGTCAACTTGTTACAGCTTAGCCTAAGCAGAATTCTTCCTGCAAATTCTCCGTGAGATTTTTACTCTCCCATATCCTATAACTGTACACCTGAAATAGTCTCTTTTGGTCATTCAGAGATTCCTTCAAGTGCTTCTTTCACTCTCCATGTTTACCGTCTTTTATGTTTGATCCACAGATAGTTGCCTTACTTCTTCTTTTTTATCATGGCATGCCAATTGCCATGGCGACTGTATCGATTATAACTTTCACGACTTCTTGCGTGGCTAAGGATGAACCCTTTCATTCCAAATCTTTTAATTAATTCTCCTTACTGTCTGCCATATAGTTCTCATGATGTTAATTTGGAGAATTTGGTATTGGATCAACTAACAATTGCCCAACTGATATTTCTCTTTATTCTTATCACTTGCCCTCTTGACATTGTATTGATATTGTAAGGAGAAATTCTGCCTTGGTCACTCCTGGGAGTTAAAGGGTTAAGGATTAAAAGATGGTGTGCATATTAAATTTCTGCACAAACCAAAACCCCTCCCTTCTCCCTCTTTTTTGAAGTAACGTCTACTCTAAAATGAAAAAATAAACAATCATTTCTTTACAATGCCATTTGAAACCGGTTTCAGCCGTCCTTCATGGCCAGCCAAGCTCCTCCGCAATTGTGTTTCACGAAGGAAAACCTTTGCTTTTGGCAGATGTTGGAGCTGGTGTCCTCAAGGCTTGCAGGGAGAGACTCGGTTAGTGAAATTCCTACCACTCCTTCCTCGATTTGCAGTGATCGTTCAGTTTTGTCCTTGTGTTTTAAACCCATCTGTGTGAAATCCTCAGTCATAGTCTATCTTTATCAGTTGAATGTTGCCCCACTGATATTTATTCTCTAGACAACCTTACTTTGCATTTCCAGCTCACAACGAGTTCCCAAGGAATGTTTTCATCACAAACAACCACTTGGATCATGCTGGTGAGCTCCCTTTGCTATTTTTGTTCGAGAGCGAGAGGAGACATTTGGCTGGTGAACCTCGCCTAAGAGTGTTGTCTGGCCCTGAGGTGCAACATAAATTAAAGACATGCAGACTGGACGAAATGCTCCACCTGTATACACTGGTAAGTCATGAATCACCTGTTATATGCGCTAAGATGCAGTGTTTTTCCATTTAAGTATTTTTTTCGTTCTTCCTTGAAGGAACAAATAGCAGATTGGGTAGTATGTCAGCAAGAAGGAGACCCAACCTACCTGGATGACGAAAAACAGTTCTCCATGAAAATCCACAAAACTCTTCATAGCGGAATATGTTATGGTAGGTTACAAACAGTTTTGAACGATGACCTGGGTAACTATTTATGTCGCGAAGATCGTAAGTCAATGCGTAGCTGGCCGGGGACGTGATTGTCAGCCTCGGGCTTTCAATCGAACAATTACGCTTCGAACATAAAACAAAGCTTTGCTAAGCCAGTTTAAACCGGCCCAGAAGAAGACCAAATCTCAAACAGTAAGTTCTAAGCTGAACAAGTAAATTTCAGATGATGATCACGCCTAATTCCAATAGAGCTTTTAAATTTGAAGCATGAAAAGAATCGTTAACATTTAATTTTTATTCATAGGATTTGTGCTATTCTTCAAGGAGAAACCAGTTCTTGGTTATTGCGTAGACTCTGGCTTCAAGGAGGACGTGTTCGATTTTTTCTTCCAAGCCACCACTGTGATAGTTGGTGCGAGGTCTAATGCACCTAAAGAACATGCATCGGTAGGTATTGTAATCAGAGGGTTTTTAGCTGACTACATATTACATTAGCATTGGAGAGTAAGAAATGGCACATAATTAGTAATGAATGCACAGTGCGTGAGATTATATGCCGAAACAGCTTAGTTCTGAGGTGGGAGTCCACAAGGTATGAAACTCATTTCGCAACGATGATTTGGAAAGTCTTCAATCGAAAAAACCTGAGCTTATGCAGCCAAAATTTAAAATGAATCTCTAAAAATCAGTTTGTCAACCTACACCTCGTTTCTCACTTAGTTCCAACTGCTGGTACCATTTTTTTTTATCGGATATAGTGTGATTACTTAAGAAGAAAGAAAACAGGTGTATAAGAGATAGAGCGAGGCCAAGATTGATTTGGTGTTTGGAGTTTATTGATTACCAACATTTAATGCTAACAGAACCACCGAATTACTCAGTAGAAATCTCTCATTTGTCTTAGTTTACAGAAGTGGTTAATTACGTGAGGAAGATCCAGGTATGTAACTTTCGAACTACTTTATTTGGGTTTCTGTCTTGTTTTAATTATTTCCCACAAATACCAAAATCAGAAACAATACTTTATCAAAGCGCTAATGAAGCAATTTTTCCAAATATCTTTCGTTCAATGTATTACCAATAAAATATTGCTGCAATTTTTAACGCCCGAAATTACTATAGTCTGATAAAAAAGATTCTAGGTACTGGTAAAACACCACCTAAGGGTATCAGTCTTCCCAAAGTCGACGTTACCCATTATTTATCATCTTTTATCTAACTATTTACCAGTTTTTTTATTTATCTATTTATTAAATTGTTAATTTCAGCCGAAAGAAACCAAGGTGTACATAACTGGATACGGTATTGACGCAGAGTACCCGTATGAAGGACTCCCAGGAGTAGAGCAACTGCGGGCGAATCAGTACATCACACTCTGGGATGAAGAAACTGATAGCAATTCTTAGCTAGAAGCCAGATCACGAAATATCTTTCTATGGGTGAAATGGAAAGTGAACTCGAAGCTTTCTTGATACAAATGGAATAGAGCTATTGTCCACTCAGGACAGCTCTTAGATCAAACGATTCAAAAATAATAAAAGTTTGATGATTGTTCATTAGCCGACACAGAAAAAGAGTTGGATAATGGTGTAAACAAGGGGTTAAGGATTATGGGTGACGGGTTTGAAGGGTTAAGCAGAAACGGGCAAAGGGTGCTTTCTTTGGTATAGAAAACTCAGACTGTTCGATATTTTAATATTTTAAAAAGTGCTATTAAGAAGGAAACGGATACTTGCTCTTTCCACGGCTTGTTGTTATACCATTTCAATTGTACTATTGGTAAATTTATCCTTCCACCGTGTAGGAGTGTTCGTTTGTAGGGCAGAGTTTCGTTTGACCAATGCTTATCTCATTTACATGAATTGAAGACAAATAATTAATTCGCACCAGAATTCTTATGCATGGTAAACCCTCCTATAGTTTCTAAACAATGGGTTATGTGTTAGGACCGCGAAATTGGACCAAAAGCAGCTCTTGGGTTTCACTATGAATATGGTATAAGAGAGAATAAAACCTGAAAAAGAGAGATTTTAAAAATTGGCACGAAAACATAGAATATCATTCACCACTGACGTTAACCCAGTCCATTCTGGAAAGATATGGGCCAGTCCGATCCAATTCCTAATTTTAGGTTTAGAATTACGTCATCCGGTTTTTCGCGGAAACTGAAAACTGGAATGTTTACAATGGCTTCCACTTCGCATACCGTAGAGGTGAGGAAAATACTTTATTATTAATTTATAAATGAATGTTGAAATCAATGTCGAGCAAAAAAGACTTCTGAACTGCCTCAGCAAACAGTACACATTCAATTTTACTTGATATGCAGCAGTTTCTTCAAAGTGAATAATCTTGCGATCGTAAGCGTTTCTGTTTCTTTCATCGTAATTATATGGTGGTACAAAAAGGCAGGCTCTCCTCGGTCATACACAGGTATGATCGAGTAAATCCTTACGCTCATTCATACAGCCAGTGTTTGTAGATGTTGATATAGGGGCCTTCGAAACAGTCTGCTGTGAAATTTTATTTATGCATGTTCACAGTTCATGGATTTCATGAAATAAGTAACCTGTGATCGTCTGAGGAAAAGCATAAGTTTGAATCCCTTTATATGCTACCTCACTTAATCTAAAAAAGGGATTTGAGAACTTCCTTGAAAGCAAAACAGAATTATTTGATGGACTTAGGTAAACCGGAAGTATGAAATTTGTATGCAAATATTTATTTTGTTCGCTGTTGATTTCGAAATCTTCTGGTGTAGGTCTGTCAACCCTTTCACTTCCAAGATCTGCTTATTAAATTTCCAATTTTACCCTCCAGCTGCTACACATTTCCTTGTCAATAAGTAACAAAAGTTTAGCGTTGGATCGAGATAACGACTTATATCTGATCACTTTTAGTACTTGATTACCCGTTAGCTGGATAATTTAGGGATATTACGAGGATACCTTACATATTAATCACTTGTGGAAGTTATAAGGTTAAGTGTATGGTTTGTGGTCATCATTGGTTATAATCAGTACTGGATATGAGTGAATTTGATATGGACATTTAAGAGAAACTGTACAGGAAATTTTCGAAAGTGAAAGAAATCAATATGGACTGATGGTTCGAAACCACAATAAGTCATTCAAGGTCAAAATGGATACATTTGATAGATGAATAACCAAGAAAAATAGCATGATGAATGTGCTGGAGAAAACAAGTAGTAATCTAGCTTTCTAATTGAATCAAAACGATTGAGCCATGAGTGTTAAGATTTGTCTCAATATTGCATTGTAATAGAGAAATCTATTGATCAGCAGATTTAGGGCCATCTAAAGAGACTGGGTTCATTCAAGCCAAAAATGTAATGGTAATGGTTGCCAATCTATTTACCTCTATTTACGCCTCGTCAGAAAAAAGTGCAGCTAATTAGTGAGAGTATAAAAGGACCTCTTTTTTGCAGCATTTAGATCACCCTTAATGTAGGCACTAGACAGGAGTGTCAAAACATTGGGTCTGTGAATTGTAACTTCCCAGTTACATTCATTAAATCTTTAAACCAGAGTGGCATCAAACCATGTCTGATTGTACACCTGGTTGCCTTATGAACTTTAATTATCCTGGTTGCCAATCTGTTTCTTTTAATCAATAAATAAACTAATCAACCACTCAGTCATTTACTCATCTGGTGCATTCAGCCATCAGTCAGCAAATAGATCTATTTTTTATTCCTTTTCTCTCCCTTTTCATTATTCTTTAGTTTTGTTCATTTGATTCAGTTTTTTCTCATTTCTTAATGATTATTAATTTATTTCAGCAATTTTTTTGTCTGATATGACTTCCCTTTACTTTTGGAGATGTATATTCATGTGAAAATTCATTGTAAGGATTTGGTACCTTATACCTCATTTTACAGCTGATCTGTGTTGCTTGTTGAATGGGGGAATAAGATTTTAAGTGTTTAATTACCAGTAAGCATGATTATTCTTAATTTCCAGGACACTCTTATAACTGCACAACGTGCCCTTGCAGTTCACTATGGAAACAGTTACCCTTGTAGCAATAGGGTTCAACAAAGCTTGAGGGAGATATTAAATCAGAAGTTTAATGGGTCACATAGGAGCTTTACAGAAAAATTTCTCAGACCAACTACATTACTTCTGGAGAAACTCAAAGCTGAGGTGAATATTATATAATCTTCCAGATTGTATGCATTGAACTGATTTTGTGAATCATGATAGCTGCCACAAATGCTTTACCCTGTTGCTTCTAAAATCTTATGAGTGATTCTCTCAAGAGAGTCATAAATTAGCCTTTCAAATAAGACAGGAGAATCTGGTTCTTTATCAAAAAATACCCTCTAACTGATAAGCTTGTATGTTCTCATCAACTATTTGCAAGATAACATATTTGCACTGCAAGAAGAAGTGACACTTTATATCATATGTTGGGGTGAATGGTATAAAGAAGTCACTTCCTTAGACTTAAACAACTTGATTTATTGAGTATTAATTTTGCCTTTTGTGGACTGGTTAGGTAAGGGAACTCATCAGTTTGAGTTGTAGAATCAAGTTTCCATGGGTTCACTTTCCCTCAACTGAGATGTGCAGTTTCATACGAAAAGGTGGACATTGGCAAATGCACTAGGTGGGAAAAGACCTCTCTACCCTTTTTGCCTGCTTTAAGAGTTTATTTGAAAACCATCGCATATCATCATATAATCTAAAAGATTCTTTCTTTACATGCAACATACCAGGCAAAATAACATGGGGAGGGGTGTAGCTAGAGAAATATCAGAATAACTCTATGGCAGGTGTCATACAAGTTCAGTTTAATTAATGCTCTCTCTTTTTTAGGGTTTTCCTCTAGTCAAGGATGGCAGAGTTATCCTCCATCTATCTGGGCCAATAAACCATCTGGAGGTTGGAGAAATGTTTTTTCAGGTGAATTATCAGAATATTGATGCAGCCAGAAGATATGGCATTGTTGATTTAAATTGAAGTGGGTATGCTAAAATTAACTTACAGAAAATGAGCAGGCTGAATTAATAGTTTCTCAATTAAGAAGGAACTTTTTGTAATGTAAATGAGCCAGAAATCAACAGAAATTTACAGCCAGTCCACCCTGATCGCTATTGTATTACTTACAACAGAAATTTTTTTTTTGGTATGCATACACGTTTTTTTTCATAATTGCGGGGGGTGGGGAAGAGGGGTGCTGAACTAATCAAAATTCCATTATATAGTTTGATTGACAGATCAGTAACATAAATTGTCGTGTGCACCATGTACAGTGCTGGACGGGAATTCAGGTCACTTTATGTTCATCAAGTGGCGAGCTTAACTTGTTTAATTTTTTTTTTGGCTTTTTTTTAATCCTAGGTTGGGCACACCACACCAGGGACATTGACGCTGAAGTTTGCTAAGCCAAGTGGTAACACAGTGTTCTTACAGCCGTCAATCGTTGAGGAAATCGAATATCACTTGGCATTTACCCAACAATACCTTCATCAGTTACGGAAGGAAGCCGGTACATCGGGTGATAACTTAATGCAGCTGCTAGTGGTTTCTACAGTAAATGGCCAGGACTGTGCTCCTGAAAAGATAAGGGTAGATGGAATAATGCCGTACACGTTTGGACATGGTAGAAGCAAAACACCATCCTCAAAAATAGATCAGTCAGTCGGTGATGGAAGTCCTTCGTATCGTCAACGTGAAGAAAATTCGGATCAACATCCTGTAGAACATTATCCTCCAATTCACCGAGCGGTTAGAGATCAAACTACACCAAAGGACACGGGACAACGACTCTTGAAGGAGAATTCCTCCTCAAGTGGAGAAGAAAAGAATCCGTCCTATCCTTCTATTCACCAGGCAGTTAGTGACCAATGCACACCAAAAACCGATCAGCAAGAAGACTCCTCAAATATAGGTACGAACAATCCACAGTATCCTCCAATTCATCAGGCGGTCAGAGATCAACCTGCACCAGAAGACACAGGACAGTTAATCTTCAGGGAGTATCTCCCCTCAGGTGGAGAAGAAAATAATCCATCCTATCCTTCTATTCACCAAGCAGTTAGTAATCAACGAACACCGGACACTGGTCAACAAGAAGACTCGTCAGCTACGGGTACGAACAATCCAAAGTATCCTCCAATTCATCAGGCGGTCAGAGATCAACATACATCAGAGGACATAGGACAACGACTCTTCAAGAGGGATCCCCCCTCTGGTGGAGAAGAAAATAATCCATCCTATCCTTCTATTCACCAAGCAGTTAGTGATCAACGAACACCGGACACTGGTCAACAAGAAGACTCGTCAGCCACAGGTACGAATAATCCAAAGTATCCTCCAATTCATCAGGCAGTCAGAGATCAACATACACCAGAGGACATAGGACAACGACTCTTCAAGAGGGATCCCCCCTCTGGTGGAGAAGAAAATAATCCATCCTATCCTTCTATTCACCAAGCAGTTTGTGATGAACGAACACCGGACACTGGTCAGCAAGAAGACTTGTCAGCCACAGGTACGAACAATCCAAAGTATCCTCCAATTCATCAGGCAGTCAGAGATCAACATACACCAGAGGACATAGGACAACGACTCTTCAAAGAGGATCCCCCCTCTGGTGGAGGAGAAAATAATCCATCCTATCCTTCCATTTACCAAGCAGTTTGTGATCAACGCACACCCGACACTGGTCAGCAAGAAGACTCCTCGGGTACAGAGAAGAACAATCCACAGTATCCTCCAGTTCATCAAGCAGTCAGAGATCAACCCACTCCAGAGAACATAGGACAATTACTCTTCGAGGAGGAACCCCCCGCAGGTAGAGAAGAAAAGAATCCATCCTATCCTTCTCTTCACCAGGCAGTTGGTGATCAACGCCTACCAGACACTAGTCAGCAAGAGTCTTCAAGTACAGGTACGAACAATCCACAGTATCCTCCAGTTCATCAAGCGGTCAGAGATCAATTTACTCCAGAGGACATAGGACAACGACTCTTCAAGGAAGAACCCCACTCAGATGGAGCAGAGAGGAATCCGTCTTACCCTCTCATTCACCAGGCAATCAGTGATCAACACACAACACACGATCAGCAAGAACACTCATTAAGGGCAGGGGGAAACAATCCACAATATCCTCCAATTCACCGAGCAGTCAGAGATCAACCCACAACAGAAGACGTAGATCAACGACCCCCGCGGACGGAACAGTCCTCAGATGGAGGAGAAAAGAATCCAACATACCCTTCCATTCATCACGCAGTTGACGATCGAAGTGAACTACACGCGGGTCATTTGAGAAACTCTCCAGGCGCAGGTGCAAACAATCCACCATACCCTCCCATTCATCAAGCAGTTAGCGATCAGCCACCAGACTCCAGAGACCATGAGCACTCATCAAATTCAAGTGAAGCCGATACTTCCCAGCGCGTACCTAGAGGTCAGAATATAACGGAAAACACTGGGCGCCAAAATACAGGAGCTCAAGTGATTGACGCAGTTGGGAACAACCCAACATATCTCCCTCCTAAAGCAGTGGCATCTGCGTCCGCGTGTTCTGCTCAGGCTGTTGGAAATAACTCAGCATATCTTCCTCCACAAGCAGAGAGATATACGGCCAAAGGTTGTCCTACTAAGTCGGAACAGGTATCGTCTGATGCTGGTAGAAGTGATTCCCCTCGTTGTAATAGTCGTAATTCAACCACTTCAATAGCAATCGCAGATCCTTACAGATTTCTTGAAGATGAAGAGTGTCAGTTTTAAAAATTTGAAGTAACTGAATTTGTTGGCATGAAGCAGACACTTCACACTAGAGCTGTACAAGTATTTAGAAATCAGAATTGAAATTGGCTTCAAAGGAACAATTTAAGGGACTGCAAGATGTCTTCACCAAATGTGCGCCGATTTTGACTGGAGAAATAAACAATGAATCAAAAACTTAGGGTTTTTATTTATCAGTTACTTGGAGTAAACAGTTTTCCGAGAACAACCTGACAGAGTAGTTTCAGTAGGTAGGCTTGTTTTAATCCCGTTCACGGAGGAGTTTGCTGTAAAATTAATTTAAATTTTTCAACAAAATCAGTTTTACCTTTTTTATGCCGGCTTAGCTGAATTACAGCTCTTAAAAGGTTAATGTTAATGATCAAACAAATGATTTAACCCTGATGATCGACTTCTAACTGAAAGTCACATGCAGGGAAGGTTGCCATATTTCAAAACTGAACTGTGTGAAATACTTGAAAGAGCCACGCTCGTTTCTTAAAGTTAAGAACTTATGATGAATATAATCAGGAAAAAATATAAATTTGACTACATTTTGATATGTGGAAAGTTTTGGTGAAGCTCGAATGGTGGCTAAGGCTTTTGAGAGAATCTGATATAAGGTTTGTGAAATAAGTGAATTAGTGGGAAATGTGGGTAAACAATTTGACAGTATGAAGCAGTAACTACCTGGATAATCTGGAGACCTTCATTTTAGGGTGCTAACACCCTGCGGTCCTGTGGTTCTACACCCTGTAGCCCCGGTTGTTTTCAGCTGGGTTAAGATAACCCAGGGTTAATGTCAAATCTGATTTCACATCTGAAAGTTTTAAAAGAAAATTCAGCATAATTCTTTTTGTAAATAAGTCGATGATTGGATGCTCCATAAAAAACAGAGGAAAAAATTCCAAAGAGACTTTTGAACATAGGAATAAAGAAACCTGGATTATAATTTAATCTTGGGTTAGCGCTAATGAGCCTTAGAACAACTGGGCCCTGATCTGAAGCATGTACACACAAACTTGCAGTCACACAATCATCTTGTGAAATGAGATTATAATCGCATCTTTTCAGGGCGCCCTGTAATTTGAGGAGACGTTTCGACGAAGTACGTTGAACAGGTTCAAAAGTCAGCTCTTTCCGTATCCACTCAATTAATTGCCGCCCTCTGATAAACATCGCAAACTGAAGGAAAACTATCGATCAACATCGCCCTCGAATAAATGCCCCACTAAACCAGAAGAATGAAAATTAGCTAAGTTAAAAAAAAAACTGGCAAACAAAACGAAACAAGAGCCATGTCCCTCACCGCTTTAGAAAAAAATGATAAGGACCGCGGCGCATAAACAAGTAAAAACAGTTTTAAAGCTTAAGGAAGAACGGTCAATTCCGGTCACGAGATAGTAGTATGATTACTGCGCTTTTCGGCTGAAATCTTGATGTCATGTCTTTAAAAAGAGAAACAGGAGAACATAAATAACACGTCCCCTTCATATATGATTCAGGAATGTGCGTTTAAGCACAACTTTGGTTGCTGATTCATTCACCCTTCTAAACTCTAATAAACGGCTTAAAAAATCTTCTCTAGTTTGCCAACCCAAGCCGCAAGTAAGCAAGTCTTTCTCATGGCCGACGTTTAGTCACGTCACAAATATACCCTCCCCTAACGCGTTGTGTGACGAGACCCGACAGCGGCTACACCAACCATGCTAAGCCAACGATTTAATTCATAGACTCAAACCCAGTCGTTAACGGTTTAGATTAAACGACAAGTCGATCTTGGGAGAAACGAACCTGAAACACAAATAGTGGTGGAGGAATCATTGTACGCGGATTGATTTCAATCATCGACGATACGGCTCGTGAATCCAAAACATCGAGTCGAACACCTCATAAGCACCGGATGTGATTTCATAATCATCACATCAGTGTCTCGCTTGTTAACACTAGCACAACAAGGCCATATAAGCGGAAGTAAATCTACGTTCGAAAGTTACCACTCTTTTCATTGGTGGAGACTATGGAAAAAGTGCTACATTTGGTAGTGTTTTTTCTCCTGTTCAAGCCTGTGATACTGGAGGAAGGTAACCACCGTATTTTAACCAGTATTTTATCTAATATAAACTGTATAAAGGACACTCGTTATATTGTTTACACTGCATAAAAATTAGCATAGCGCTCAATGGTATGAAACAAATCGTCCGGTCTCATTGAAATTTGGTTCTTGCTGTCCTAATATTAAAGGTGAACAAACATTTAGCAAGCAATCTTCGACCGCGAGTGGTTCCATGCGAGCTTACTTCTTTGGGAAAAGCCATGCATATGTAAACATTTTACCAATGGATAACTTTTAAGGGTGAAATATACAGAGACAAATTTGCTTGGTATGGTAGTCGTAATTTAATCTTACTAAATAAATAAGAATACATGTATCTATAAATATATATGAAGCAATGAACTGTTCCTTTGACATCATGCAATGCAATATTGAATATGCCGATTTAATGAGTTAACTGAAATTAAGTACTAGATCGATTTCAAAGTTCGGTAGTTTTAGCAAACGAAAACGAAAGATGAAAAGAGCTATCGCCGGAAGCTTTCTATAACTGATATCATAAAAATATCCTTCTTCGATTCTTAACGGGTTTAATTAGAGTGAGAGTGACAAGCGAAAGACCCTTGCAATCAATGCGAAAGTGTCACGCAACACCACCTTAGAGTCACGCAGCATAGATCGGTGAATCAATATTGGAAGGAATGACGCTCCATAAATATTTGTGTTATCTACGTCTCCTTTACAGGAAGCTTCTGGCAGGTTACAGACTTTCATTTCGACAAAACATACCAGTCCCCCACAGAGCCTGGGAAGATATGTAATTCCCAGACCCCAAACAGTGAGACGCCTACCCATGCTGGCAAATGGGGTGACTATCTTTGTGATTCCCCGTGGAGACTTATAAACTCATCAGTATTTGCAATGAAAAGCATCGAGCCAAATCCGGATTTCATCATTTGGACAGGGTAAGTTATTTAAAAGATCTCAGTGGGGTTAACCATCAGCCCTGAGACGGCAAAAACATTTTGCAGTTGGATGAATTTTAACCGTTAATGGTAAAATAAAAAATAAAAAAATTTACCCGTAAAATATTTCTGTTAACTATGACGGAAGGAAATTTACTGTAAGTCGTAAAATGGCCAAACTTTAACCGTTCGCCGTAATAGCTATCGATCCAGACTTTCTATTTACTTCGAAAAGCAATCATTCCTGGTTGGCAACCGTAATGAAGTCGGTATAATTTTGTGAATTGGATGCCTTTATAGATGTGCGATGTGTTTTAAAAAAGCAAGGACAAAAGGTGAAAAGTTCGAGTTCTCCTGGGAATTGTGGTATTTGTGTTCGGTTGCTTGCTCGCTAGATCTCAGTCAGTAAGACGAAGAAACAAACAGGTGACAGGAAATCGACCGCGTTTTTTTTTTTTTTTTTTTTTTTTTTCCGGGAAAATGACGCGTAGAGAGCGAGAGAGTCCTCCCTTTAAACTGACTGCCTGGAACTGATTATTTGGTACTCATACCCTCTCCTCCATTAATCTGGTAGCAAATAATCGGAAATAGGTCCGCAGCTTTTCCAGCCGTGTTAGAACCTTCCTACCTTTCCACAAAATGATATGCAATGACTTGTCTCGTACCCAGACCTTCCACGGCCTCCCACATTTCAGTTACACGGTTGGATCTGGGTACGAGATTACGCAAAGAAATCAGTTGATTTTTGACATTATTCTTTCTGTTTCCAATGACCTAAATCTCTCTCTAAGGGACCGGTTATTATTTTTCGCCACGAGGAAGGGGAGTCGGATGACTTTTTTTTAGGGGGGGCGGGGTTATTACATAGTTGCAGGGGAAAGGAGACAGGATCAGTCACCGCTAACAGAGTGTAACGGGGAGGACTACAGAAAATTGGTTGCCTTTGAGGGGGGTCAATGGAATACTAAAGGCCTGTGGGGGGTGTCAGGCAAATTACACTGTGACACAACCAAAATCTTTGTATTGAATCCAGACCCTCCAAGGCCACATGATTGTAACTCATTTCAGTTTCAGCGTAAGATCTGGGAACGAGATTACCAGAATCCTCCGGGAACCCTCTTAACCCCGGCGATAAATAGTAACCAGTCTCCTATGTAATTAATCCTCAGCGATGACATGCCACACGTCCCAAACAGCCAACTGAGTACAAACGAAGTGATAGAAACGGTGAAGAACTTAACCGACTTGCTCAGCGCTGTCTTTCCAAACACGACGGTTTATCCGGCCCTCGGAAACCACGACTACCATCCGAAGCACCTGATGCCACCCGAACCGAATTACATTTACTGGGCAGTTGGTAATTTATGGAGCCGATGGCTTCCTCAGGATGCGGTGAATACCTTTAAAAGGGGTAAATGACACTCTCAAGTAAAGCGATACAGACGCTCTAGACCTAATCCTTCAATCCTTTCCATAAAATTGCCTCTTTGTAATAGAATGCGAAAAGCTCTTTTTCCCAAGAAAGTGATGCCAAATACATGTGAGTGAATTAATTTGTTCTAGTCGACTGTTCGCACGGAATATCCATAAGTGGCTTGGTAGGGCGAAGACAGGAGACTATCATGCTCTGTAACGCGAGAGGGCTTTCTAATGTCTCATTCAAACTGTCATCTCCACGAGCCCATCTGCACTAATTGCGTGAAAGGAGAGAATTATTGCCATTTTCATTTCGATGCTTGTTTCAAAGATTTCAAAGAAACTTTATATTTTACCACGAAACGAACATAAAACGAAACAAAACAACAAACAAACAAAGTATGACGATAATGATTGTCCAGCTTTGAATGTCTTCCTTCTTAAATTGAAAGTTTCAATCGAAAATGAAGCCACAATTTTGTGAATACCATTCAGATTTTCTGGAACAATCTGTTTTGTATATTAGCTCACTGTGAAGTAATTTAAAAACCAAAAAAAACATCTAAAACCTCTCTGTTTTTTCTTCAGGCGGATTTTACACAGTTCTCATTAAGCCTGGCTTGCGTTTAGTCAGTCTGAATACCGTGTATTACTATACAAACGACAAGCTAACAGGGAATATCTCTGATCCTGCCGGCCAATTTGCGTGGCTAGACGTTGTGCTCACTAAAGCAAGTCGCATCAACGAGAAGGTGTGTATCCATCAGAGATTTTTTCTATCAAGATGGTTAAAGCTACTCTTGTCTAAGTTAGTAATTTTTTCAGAAAGTCCCGGCCAGCCATCCAGTCAGTCAGTCCGTCAATTGGGCAGTCAGTCGGCCACTTACTCAGTAGGTCCGTCAGTCAGTAGGACCATTAGTCAGTAGATCCGTCAGTCAGTTGTTCCGTCAATTGGGCAGTCAGTCAGCCACTTACTCAGTAGGTCCATCAGTCAGTAGGTCCGTCAGTCAGTCGTTCCGTCCTTTGCGCAGTCGGTCGGCGAGTTAGAAAAAAACCAACACGAACGTGTTGCAACCCTCTTCTTCCTTGTTTTGATCAAACGTATAGCATGCATCTTTCTACGTTTTATATGAATTGGAAAATCATATTTTCCCAGGTGTTTATTATAGGTCATGTTCCGCCCGGTGCTTTTGAGCGAGCTCCAGGAAAGAAGTGGTTTTATCCCAAATTCAACAAAGATTACATTGCTGCCATCATGAAACATGCTGACGTCATCACCGGCCATTTTCTTGCTCATCAGCACTGCGACAGCTTTAAAATTATCTATGACGGGAAAGGTAAAACTCAGTAGCTAATAATGAGCTAGATTATTTATCCTTAAATTTATCGTTAAATCAGGAATTTTTTCAGACAATGACCAGGCTGAAAGTGAGGGTTTCAAAGGAAATAAATTAATCCTTTACACCCTAACGTATGCACATTCTCCATTCTGTTTTCTGCACGTTTCTTAACTTGCTGACAAGGAGAACTTGGAAGGGATTCAAACTCGCTTATCCCAGATACTAGGGTAATTTAATATTATAAACTGAGTTGATAACGTAAATTGGCCACCGTAAAGAGTTTCAAAGCTGACGTTTCGAACGTCAGCCCTTCGTTAGAGCGAATGATGAACGGCTAACGCTCAAAACGTCAGCTTTGAAACTCTTTACGTCGGCCAAGTCACGTTATTAACTTAGCTGATAATGCTTAATTACCCTGTTATACTCTCCCACTGACGCAGCACCACAGTTTCTTTAGAAACTTACACCCTTTATTCCACTTACTAGTTGGGTGTTATTGATTCAACTCAGCTATGAAGCGGAGCAAATGTTTTGCTTGTTGTTAATTTCCAACCATTGTGACTTTATTCAGTAAATCAAGACAAATTATATTTATCTCACCAGACCCCGCAATAAAATCAAATAAGATTGCCCTAAGTTGGTGCTGTGCCCTAAAAAAGGAACCTTGTTAGGATTCCTGCATCATGAAGATTTAACCAAGAAACAATAACTCACCTAAATTTTTCCTTTAGTTCCTAAATATTTCGCTCTCTTTCTGATGAACCATTGCTTTAAGACCTTAGGAAATTTTTTTACGCAACTTCCAAAACATCTCGCCGTCAAAAATGTTTCCTGCTCATCTAAACTACTGGCGGCATTGCCGTTTTTAATTATCAGGCTATCAGCAAAGTGAAGAAATCGATAATTGGTACCACAGCGACACGGTCATGCAACAAATAACTTCTAGATGAGGAAAATTGTTATGCACTGAGCCGACCATTGTAACAACAATGGAAATTTGAGAGTACATGTATTCTTTATCCGCCCCGACAAGAAAATTAGTGCACATTTTCGAGTTTGTTTTATAGCCAGCGGACTTTTCCAGTCTAAATGAACGCTCATCTTCGTTATTTTCCCAGTAAATCTGACACCTATAAACTAGTAAACTGGATGAAACGTCAATGAATGAGTGTCGGCAATACTTTGTAAAGAGAAAATACTGGAGAAAAGAAAACTCAATTAGAGACTTTATTAGCGATTACAAATTTACATAGACTGTTCTGTACTGCCAGCTGAATTGAATCGAACCAAAGAAATCAGATTCCAAGGAGTATAGGTATATTTTCCTGTTTAAAAATTATATTTTGCATCTTACCGAAATAGCCAAGAATGCAAGTAAATCTGATTTCCAAATTCGGTCCGATTATTTGTAGAACTTGCAGTGTAGATCGAAAGCGGACACTTCTGAAAGTGAAAATTGGATTTTTCTTTTGTTTACGCTCTCTCCTAAGCGGAAACCCCATGCAAAACAATTTACTTATGGCAGTGAAATTTGTCTTTCATTTGCAAATCAACAGAAATATAACCTTCTGACAAAGCAACAGCACAATGGAAATGGGTTTTGACAAATTTCCATCTGTCCGCCGTCCATTGTGGTGTACTTTCCCTCCTGTTTTTTCCGTAGGCGGACATCCAGCCTATTTTTCTTTGGCGTCCGCTAGTAGGAATAATTCTCGTAAGCGGACAACGAACACTTTTTCCAATTCCCGAGGGTTTCCGCTTACGAGCTAATCTAGAGTTGACCGTCTTCCTTAAAGCATTAAAAAAAACTCACGGCATAAGCTTGTCTTTTAAGAACGAGTTATTGTGGTTTTGCCCAACGATTTTTTTTCGAAGGAAACGAGCCTTTAACTGTCATCAAAAGAATTGGAATTTGAGTGATATTCATACGGTTTCTATGTGGTGGCGTTACAGATGTTTAACCTTCCACGTAAGAATTTTTCCTAAATGTCTCTTATAAGCCGAGGAAACAAACGGTTAAGATCAATTTACAAAAAGAGTGAAAAAAAAGGTGATTCAATGCAAGCCTAAAGATGTTTGTAACTTTATACATCTTTTCTTAATAACTTCCCATAACCAGCTTAACCTTTTTTGCGGACAGTTATTTATGGAGGATCGTTTTTGTGTGTGTGTGTGTGTGTTTTTTTCGGGCTCGAACCCCAACCTGAGAAGTAGCGAGAGATTTTTATGAAAGCAGATGTGAAATAGGCGGAAGTTGATGGAAACCTGTCGAGGAAGATCTCTCTCGGGGCAAAAAGGTCATAAATGCTATTTGCTCTCACCATAAACGAAGGAAGACAGTCTTAATGCAAAAAAAAAAAACACGTCGGGCAAAAAACGGTCATTTTGTTCAGCTAAGCGATCCATTGCGTCAATACGGTGAAAATCTCGTTGAAAATCGGTCTTTGTCCATTTGAGAATATTTAAGTGCCTTTCGTGCGTTTCACCAATACAGGGAAAGATACCTATCACCAGAGGAGTCGAGGCGACATATGCCCTTGAAACCAAAGAATAATAATGGGACATAATTTTGTCTTGTTTGAAACGTGACTTTAAGTTTATTTCCGGCATGGTGATGACCCTCTAATTATCGGAAATGTATGGCGAAGAGTAATTACGGGTTTTTTTCGGAGAATAAAACATTTTCAAATTCACCAGCTGCCCCGTGTGTAGTTATTAACTGTTTTTTGGCATGAAACATTTATCTGGAACTTCTTTTCACATTTGCGAATTTTGCAAAGTTGCATTTTACGTCAAAGAACTCGCCAGATTGTAATTCATTTTCCGTGTTCTTCTTGAGTACTGGTTCTACAAATGTTATCCCGTACTCGATAGATAAGTCCCATTGTAAGTCTGTTTTTGTGAAAATTTCATCATTTTTTTATCCTGAACCTTATTCAACTTTGCTCATTTTGTAAAGCCGCACTTTACGAGGCTAGATTGCATGCCAATTAGTCAAAGATCTCAGCAGGAGACACGTTGTTAATTTCTGGTGGAGTAAAGTTTTTTCGAAATCATAAGATGCCCCGAACAGACCTGAAACTTGCAAACATCGTTCATTGATCAATATTCTACTATAGCTCACTCTTTAGGCGTCAGGCTTTTAAATTTCGATTGCATGACGTGTGTTTACTACTTTCTACATGTCTTGTGCGTGAAACCCAGAGATAAAGTATTTTGTATTCCCGGCTAACCGAAGAGAAAGCTTAAATATGTATTGCAACAACTTGGAATAGCAATGACGCGGTATTTCGGCTACAGATACAACCTTTTTCCATCTGAAACGCGTGCTGCCATTCTTAAAGTACAAAACACGACGCCTAGTCGTTCACCTTACCCATCAAATGATGAGCGCCATCCAATCAGATACGTCGTATGACAATCAGATGATTAACAGCTGATTCGATAAGGCTGAGGGGTTCGACAATGATTCGACGACTTTGTTTCGAAAGTGCTAGTTTATCTTCCTTCTGTTACGCCAGCGTTAAGGAAGTTAAGGTAACGGTCAATCAGTCTTTAATCTCTACAAATTAAAAATGCACTTCTTAATTTAACATTGATTGGACGGATATAAAAGCCAAGGCCACAAACTAAATTTCCATCTCGGTGCACCGAACGTGTTCAAGAAACTCTCATTCGTTGAAGCATCAGCTGTCATGAACAACATTGACCCTGGTGATGCCAGCGTGGATGTACTGGCTATTTTACAAGACCAGCTTGAAGCCAGAAGCAAACCAACTCTCGTAATAGAATCAACCGTTTTGATAACCATTAATATCACTGCCTTGCTTGGTAATGCCATCCTTTGCTTCATCACCTATCGCAACCCAAGGCTTCGTACCCCTACGACGATGCTAATTGTCGCCCTGGCTTGCACAGACCTGTTAACCGCTTTTTCTGTGATACCACTGACAGTTGATGCCGTCATCAACAGCAGGAGGCGCTTCGGCGATGGGGTGTGCAGATTCCAGGCTTTTGCAATGGCAATTTTTGCCCAAATATCTATCTACCTCATGGCTTTGACGGCTTTCAATCGGTACCTATGTGTTAAGAAACGGAACCTTTACAAAAAAATATTTACGAAGAAACGCACATTGCTTCTTATTACCGCCATTTGGATAGTGGTGCTGGTCATCAACGGGTTCCCCAATCTTCTTTCGCTGGATGACGTCTTCTTCTGCCCAGGTTACTTGCTGTGCTGGAGGAGGATGATGAGTCCAGCTGCCATTTACTTGTTCAACGCTTGGCTTTATGGTTCCTTCGTGATCTCCTATGTCGTTATTGTGGTGTGTTACTGGAAAGTGTTTCGCGCCGTGGAGCAGCACAGCGTGGCCGTAGCTCCGAGCCTGAATCAAGCAAGCCAGAATACCCAAGCTAGAAACCATTCTGAGGAAGTGTCCGTGGCGAAGGCAGTGGGATCTATCGTGTTTGCTTTCACCATTTGTTGGATACCGTCAGAAGTGATGGACACCATGGACAAGATAAACCCACTTCTTTTACCTCGTCAGGTGAGATTTTTTATGGTACTTATTTGAAAAAAAATTTAGATGAAAGTGACGTGTTTAGGGTCTCGTTGATCAATTTGAAAAAGTATGCTCTATTGGTCAGTGACAAAAAGAGATAACGAGATAAAGAAAATATATTTTTATTGCAGTCTGGTTACGAATCATACACAGGATTTAAACCTATGATCATGAGATTTCATTCAAAACTTAAACGGGGCAACGTGAGCGCAAAGTCACATTTCTAAATCTTGGTAATTCTTCAAATTTTTTTCGGTCTTCAATTCGCAATTTCGCATGCTTGAATTTAAAAACACCGTTTATAGGATCATTTCATGATTGCAATTTTCTTTTACATCCAAAAACGTCCATTTTTCGAACTGGCGTTCTCAAAATGAATCTTTGTGAAAATCACGCTCTGTTCTTATATCAGACTCTTTCGAATAAAAAACCTTTTTCTCACAATATTCAAGTAAAACGAATATGGTCTTTTTTTTCAAAGACATTTTTAATACGAGTTGAAAAAACCAACAAATTCATTCACATTAGGACATTTTCTTTCCTCAAAAAATCATCTGCCAAGTAATTTTCTCCATTGTTAAGAAATCTTTGCGGCAATTTTAGTCAACTACCAAAAGAGGACTACACGTAATTAGTCATAATGATCTGATAATCAACTATTGTTCATTGTCTTTCCGGCTCTTCCTTCCTCTTCCTCACTTTCTAAATGAAGACCATTTTTCTCTTCGACCATCCTACCCGTAAAAATTGGTAAGATTTAATGAAAATTGGGGGAATTTAAATTCTGGAATACCGTTTTATGTGACCATTCACAGAAAGGTGTCAGTATTAAAACAAGAAAGAAAAAGCTACGGGTAAAAAGAAAACAAACAGTTTTACGTAATAACATGAGTAGGACCAGAAATACACTAATCCAGCCTATTGTCCATGTTAAATAACGACGGTCACAAGCGTTATTTTTACATGGAAATGGATGTAAATCTCATCTTCGAATATCGTGCGTCATGCATATGGCTAATGCATCAATGGAAGATTAAGCCAAATTTTTTCGTTTTTATCGTTGCCATGCCTCCCTCTATTCTCCATCGTTAGTGATCCCCGTCACTGTTTGATTTATTCACCGGCAAACTATTTCTTTTGTCAAAAATCCCTTCATTTTGAGCAAATTTCTTTGTTTCTATCAAGATGGACCTAAGGATTTTCACAATAATATTCCTAATGAAATTCCTTAAAAAAAAGTGATATCTACTGTATTAAATATTTCTCTTCTATTTAGGTTTTCATCTTTGCCACTTGCTTGTGGTTTCTCAGCAGCGCCATCAACCCCGTCATTTATGGCGTCATGAACAGCAACTTCCGATCTGAGTACAAGAGAATGTTCGATGATATCTTTGGTTCTATTAGTCCTCAGAGAGCGATCTCGCCAAGTGAAGGCCAAGATATGTCCAGCCAGGGAAATAATTCAGCATGAGAGCAAATTTTTAAAAAGAAGGCATTCATTTTTCCTTGAGTGTCTCTATGTCGCTCCGCGCGAGTAAATTTATCCTAACCGTCAATTATGTTCTTGTTGTCCTTTCTTCGTTTGATTTTCATTTACCCTGTCTGTTATCATTGTAAATTTATGTTATTTAAGTAATATATTCATGTATTTCAGAAACCACTGCTTAAATAATTAGAATTGGAAAATCTATCGGTGCGACTATAGACTATATTGGCTTTAACATGAACTTACACATAACTTGTTATATCTTATAAACCTCAGCTGTGAAGTGTGATACAGTTTAGACGGTAAACTTAGTTGATACATTTTGCATAATGTAATGTATTGCTAGTCGATGTTTAACAGGGACCACAGTGCAACCCAAAATTTTAGAATTTTTTTCAAATGAGTAAGGCACAAAAGGCTTCTCATGTTTCAAAAAGTCTGAGGTTCTCAGCTGGTGGCCTTACCCTGATTGTTTGGAAGCAAAATGTTGTCCATGAAAAGAAAGTCTCGGACGCATAAATTTCGAATATATGAGACTGGCTTTAAAATGTACTTGCTGCTACACAATGTTAAATGGTAGATATCTATTCTCAAAATGTTTTCTGAATTATTCCTATGTTCGAGCATGAAATGTTATGTATTTTTACCCTGCTTTCATGAACCACCAATAAATGAATGTTTATCCAACCACTTTATTGTGTTTTTATATGTGTTTGTTTCCTATTTGCAATTGGCCGTCCAATATAAAAATAATTTGATGTATAATGTTAATGGAGTGCAGACGAAAAATTTCCTCCAGACCCTTGCATTCATTTTTTCTATTTGTTATTGATGTTGTTTTGCTTTTTTTGTAACTTCGCTTTAATGCGAAATCTACGCTTCCTCCTTAGGAATTCCTACAAGTTCCATTTTTTTGTGCCCTGCGGTAACACCCTGGAAGACAGTACTACCCACTGTTGGCTACAATAATCCTGGCATTCGGCTCTATAAGTATGATAAGAGCACCATGCACGTTAAGGTAATGAGCAAGGCGCCCCCAATGAAAACAGCGATCACCAATGCCAAAAGCTTGTAAGCCGGCATTAACTTTTACGTAGTAGTGAGCCGGCATGGACTTTTATGTAGTAGTGGCTTAGGTGTCGAATAGACCACACCAAAGGGATGCCTTGGCGCAGCAAAATGGACGCTCTTGATCCACAAGGGGCCTAAGACAGCAGCAAAATTATGGCACAAGGGTTACGTTACAGCTTTCCATCTTGAAACAGCTTTCCATCCTGAAAACTTTAGGCTGAATTTGTTTGTAATCTCTTCTTAAACCCTCCAGTGAATCTTCCCCGAGTTATCCACCCTCATTCTTTTCTGTCCATGGTTACTTCTTTCAATTTTCTTTTTTAAGTTCTCATGGTCGCACTTTTTGACCTTCAGTTTGATGATATTTTTTTCATCAGCGGCTGAAAGGATGCACCATACTGTAATGTGGTTTCTCCAAGTACCAAGTATCCATCCAAAGGCCCCCCCCTCCCCCATCCCCTCAAAAGTAAGCTTAGGGCGATTTTTTTTACCAGAAAAGATCCCACCCAAGCGGAAAATAACCTAAGTCTTCTGCCAGTGTAGCTTTGTCCAATCCAATCCCTGCCTTTATTTCGTAACTCTTTTTTCTGATTTGTTGTCGCGATATATTCAGTACCCCTTTCACCATTTAGTGGAGACTACACTGAGTATGAGCAGTCAAGGCTTTCGTTTAAATATGTTTTCAGCAGGAGTTCACTTGAAATGTTACTGAAATGGGTAATTTAGCGTTAACAACTGAGTTGTGAACACTAAATTACTACATAAACCCATACACAACCCACAATCCCTCCAATCACTCTAACGAAGGGCTAACGCTCGAAACGTCAGCCTTTAAATTCAATTTGCTTTTTCAACTCAGTTGTTAACACTAAATTACTTGTTATACTCTCCCACCGACGCAGCACCACAGTTTCTTTAGAAACTTACCCAATTACTGAAATAGCTTACCTCAATGTTGTTCGTTTCGTTTTTATCTCGATTAGGATGTTTGGCAGTACTTTACAAACCTAACACTGGCCAATATGATGTCCAAACCGGAGTGGGTACTAGAATACAAAGCTACTGACGCCTACCGCATACCAGATGTGAGCCCAGAGTCCCTTCATTCACTGGTTAAAACGTTCAAAACTCCGGACAGTTCAAACTTCGAAAAGTATTATTTATACAACTCAGTGAGCGCTGGTGGCGAGCAGTGCGACGAGGAATGCAAAACAGCACAAATTTGTGGTATTACGGAAGTTGATTTTGAGAAGTATGATGCCTGTGTGTCGCCCTCCACAAGTTCATCCCATGTGAAGTCTGTAACGCTCTCGGTCTATGTCGCAATTATTGTTGTTTGGGCACTTGCTGTAATAATTTCATAGAATTAGTTTATTGCCATAAATACGTAACACTTTAATTCTACTGATTGTTTATTTTTAGTGAAGGCGGCATTCCGAGTAAGCATCATTTGCATGATTGTTTGTTTCTTGTTGTTGTTTTGCTTTGTTTGTTTGTTTATTTTCTATATTTGATATTTTGTTTATGCATACTCTTTTCTTTTGCTTTATTTGATTTTTTTTGGGTTAACTTTTGGCTTTAGCCTGATAAACTATAAGTAACAATTATGTTTTACCAATTGAAATTTCATTAAAGTTTCTTCCAACATTTAAGATTTACTTTTTTTTTTAGCCTTAAATTCAAATGAGCATATTAATCTAGGATTGCTGTTTGTGTAATAAATTGTGTAGATATTCTTGTCATTGTTACTATCAAACAGGTCCAAATAATGAGATGTGATATGATGTGGTAGCTGCCTCATAGAGTCGAGATAACCAAAAATGCGCCACATAGTATAGCAGATAATAATAATTATTTACCGAAGTGGAGGTGGATTTACTGTAAACTAGTTGGAAATTAGACTCCGGGTGGGGGTGAAATGTGAGAGTGAATGGAATGTGATCGGTATTTTCCTTGTGTGCCGTTTGTAGTGCTGACTGTCGATCAATTTAACAGGGTAATTAAATGATATCAACTGTGTTGAAAACGTAAATTGGCCACCGCAACGAGTTTAAAGGCTTACCCCCTTTATTCCTTAGTCGATCAATTTGTTGGGTGCGATGGTGGCTCCTTGAAAGACAGAAACAGGATAGCCACATATATCGAATAACTGGCAAATTGCGTCTGATTTTTCTACTATCTTTCAATACTAGCTTGTGTGAGTAGATTGATGATCCCCTAACGAAGTGTGAATGGAAAATAATACCTATCGTGAAATGATTTACTTGCAATTCTGAAAAAGCGCAGTTTTTTAACAAAAATGCTGTCCTATTTTCTTTCTTTGTGTTGGGGTTGGGCAGATGTTTCTTGTTTAATTCTTAAATGTAAATGCGTATAACTGCATTTATTGGGGAACTCATATTGAGCGTTGGTACTTCCCTTTTTCGAAAATTGTATTGTTTTCATTAGTCAATATTAGTTAGGTTGACATCTTTTTGTGAAGCACTCGCTCACCTATGGACAGTTGAAACGATTGCATCTTGGGCGCGGGTTGCTTAGAGAAAAGCACTCAAGCTTTCCTTTTTTTGATGCACAAATAGACTTTAAAAGTGGTATCGACGACTTCAATCGACCACTGGTCCTTTTTCATTCACTTTTATCATTTAAGAGTAGCATTGTTCGTTCTTACCAACTTACTGAAACCGTCATCTACTAAATCTCTGGTGAGTCTAACAAAGCCATCATTTTCTGAATGAAAAGCATTAAGTGAAAATGGTCTCTTTTGTTGCCACGGTTACCTCTAAAAACAACTTTCATCGACAAGGAATATTAACCGCGCTTAAAGCACGGCCATTGGTGGTAACTGAGGGTGATAATCCCATCCAAGTAAAATAATACTTAAATACCGGAATGTGAGCGTCAGCGGAGGATCAAGTGCTGCATACGTCTTTCATTTTGTAGCAGAAAATAATTGTAACTGCAACTTTCATCGACAAAAAATATTATCTGCTGTTTAAGCACGTACATTAGTGGTAACTGAGAACAGTTAATCCTTTCAAGTAAAATAATACTGAAATACCAGAGAGTTTGCGTCAACGGTAAATCAAGTGCATACGTTCTCCAAATTTTTTTTTTTTTTTCAGAAAATAAGCTGTTGGGTGGAGACAAAGAGAAAGGTTTCTTGTTTCTTGAGTTTGAGTCATGAACAACATTGACCCTGGGGAAGGCAGCGTGGATGTATTGGCCATTTTACAGGAGCAGCTCGAATCGAGAAACAAAACAACTGTCGTAGTGGAATCCACTGTTTTGATTATTTTAATATCGTTGCCTTGGTTGGTAATGCTATCCTGTGTTTTATCCCTTACGGCAATCCCAAGCTTCGTTCGTCTACAACCATGCTGATTGTGGCATTGGCATTGCATGTTAACCACCGCGACTGTTATGCCTTTGACAATTGACGCCGTCATTAACAGTCGAAGACGATTCAGTGAAACAAGGCAAACATGAGCGAAAAGTCACATTTCCAAATATTGGGAATTCTTTAATTCATTTTTCGTTCAAGATAATTTTGCATGTTTCATAGAGTGATTAAATTCCGCTTTGGTCAAAACTGATCAAAGAAAAAGTAGCTCAGCTCAAATTGGTTGTATAAACCAACAAAGTTTATGAATAGAAATAATTGACTACTGAAAATTAATGTTAACTGGAAAATCAGTATTTTCAGAGAAACACTTTCAGTACTAAATTCTGTGGTAGGTACCATACAATATTAAACCCTAACATATAACAACAACGTTTTCATGATCCAAAACGCACGTATCGAAAACGTAATGTCAATGCAATGCATATGATCGGCGAAAATGCGAAAAAGGTGCGATTCGTGGATAAATCGCACTGATGAGAGCCAATTTGATTGCAAGGATCACCAGTTATTTCAAAATGGAAGTAATTAAACGCGATATCAACTAATCGTTAAATTTAATGAATTGATTTGATAAAAGCACTCACTAATGCTGAATGTTATCTTTTCATGGCTTAAATCCCATCCTCGCAAAAAATTTTTCCTAAAATTTTTTTAGAGTGGCACGCTCCGACAAAATGTTTGGGCCATCTATCCTTGCCTTTTCAAAATCCTACTTCCTGTAACTCACATGAAACATATCCATACCTAGCAGCTTGACGGTTTTATTTTTATGTTATACCAGATTATCCAGACTGCTTTGCACGGAAGTAAACTTACAGCTACAAAAGGGAGAATTAGCAATCACACCATGTATCTTTCATTACGTCCTGTTTTTTTCTGTATCTCAGGACTTCATCTCTGCCACTTGCCTGTGGTTCCTCAGCAGACCATCAACTCCATCACTTATGGCATCATGAACAATAACTTCCGAACAGAGTACAAAAGAGTTTTCCATTTCGTCGTGAGCTCTGTGGTTTCTACGTCCGAGAACTCGCTTACCGATAAGCAAGAAATGTCTAACCGTGATAGCATGGCACGGAAGTAACATTTTGTCGTTAGATAACAGGTATACTAATTAAAATAATCTGTCTTGCGGAAAGCGAATTTTAGAGACCTTTTCTCGGGTAATTTTGTTTCTCATAAAATAGATGTTTACTTGCGCATTAAAGGAGTTATGCGTTCTTTTTTCTTGAACATTTTTACTTTGAAGTTTGTAGGATGGTAAATTTTTTGGGGTTTCCCCTCGGATAACATTTTTCTAGCATCAGTGACTCCTAAGTGTTTTCCTATTTCGACCTCATTAGAGATGATAATCTCACACGAATTCCATTCTACATAGATAACAAATACAGTTCGACTTGTTTTCTTTGTTTGTTTTGTTTCACGTGAACTATAGACTACCGACAAAAAAGAGGGAACTTACCTTAGTCTTCGTGTCAAAAGAGGAGAGGATGGAATGGGTTTAGAGCATTATCGCAGTTTATGTCAAAACTTTAAACAACACTTTATCTCTAAACTTTCTCTAAATGTTGTGAGCTAACGAACAAAGAACGATATTTATCATCAATTAGAAGGGAATTAAATTTCGCAATATGAAGAGCTTATCATCTAACTATATATTGAGCTACCTTCGATATATTCAGCACACTTTAATCGCGAAGCAAGGCTAGCCCCAGATATATATTTAATATACCTTGAAGGAGAAAGAAGACAGGATTTCTAGGTCAATGTCGGTTGCAGTGAGGGATCAAACAGCAATTACTTTGTTTTCTTTTGGCAAAAGGTCTGGATAGAAGCAGACTGCATGTAACGACTTCAAGAAAATTAACGACACTTTTAAGATTAAAAAAAAATGTTTCGACAGTTCTTCTGTCATCTTCAGTTCTAGATGATACAAAGTACAAAGTTGAATTTAAAGTGTGTAACAAAATGCTGATTAATATCAATGAAGTTATCCACATTTTATGGAAGAAACCTACTCTTAATCACCAACTTTATCATGTTAATTTAAAACTTTCCTTGTAAATGCATACATTGATGATACAAATTTTTAATAAACTTGTTTATGGATAATTTTTCCTTCGTGGAAAAATCTTTTGAACTAGAAATCTCTCTCATTTCTCATAAATCTAATCGAGGAGTTAGTCTCTTAGTAAAGAAGAAAATTAAAGGAAAACAAAACATGCTTTCGAGGTCTATCGGTGCACATTCCAAGCCATTCCGACGCAGAGAAAAGATAGCACTTTGCAATAATTTATATACTAGTTTCCAATGAGCAACAGTAAGAAACTAACAACAGGTCTATCGAGCTTTCGTTGGTCCACTGCCTAAACAGGGATAGAAAACATTCTTTAATACAGCAATATATAGGATGGTAAATTGTTACATAGCGGTAGACATTTCTACAGAACAAGGCTACCTTGTTCATTAGCACTGTCTACCACTTGTCTTGCTTGTGGTGTTAATATCCTTCATCTAAACCTTGACTGTTCTCTTCTGGAATTGCGAGGTTCCTAGGCTCCATGAGCCTTAATCCAGTTGAGACTACAAAGCATCTAAGAAGAGAAAAAGGCGTGAGGAGGCCCAACAGTTGTGTGCTCTTTACAGTAACAATGAAACAAAAATAGTCATCGTGCACAAATGTATAGCCTAAACCAGGCTTACGATCAGTGGAAACAAGAAAAAATTGACAAGTGTCAGGCCATAAAAAAATTTGGCAGCTGTTTCCTGACAACCACAATGTCCTGTTTTTCGTACCCAGCTCTTTCACCCGCCCCTAATGATCGAAGGGCCTGGAACAGGTTAGCTTGCATATCACCATTTCAAAAAAACCGATTCTGTACAATCTCAAATAAAAGCAGCTGTTGCAACAATTTGGACCGTGGCATTGTGCAATTATTTAGTCATAATTAAAGCACAGTTTGAATCGTTATAAATACCTCTTTAAATTTATCCGTAGTAACACTTTCATTAGGCAAGATTTGCACATGACCTTCGTCATCACTTTTCACTTGAAATTCTTCTGGTATTGGCGTTCCTTCTTCAAGTTTCCATACACGATTATCAGCGACTTTATATAGGCGGTCTCTTAGTGCTTGTTCGGTTGTAAACGTGCTGAAACCTAGGGTAAGATAGTTGAAGCTCAGTAATTCAAAATATATCTCTTTACTCTGATCCTCTCTTTTTTGGTAAGATTTCCAGAAGCATAGCCCTGTAGTGGGAGCTGTGAAGTCTAACTTTCATCTATCCATCCACCAACTCAAACCACCCTCCTTCTTTCCCTTCTTTCCTACCTGTCAATCTTTCCTTCTCAGCTTCCTTTTGTAAAATTTTTGGTCGAAAGCAACTGAGAAACTACATATGGGAACATTACAATATCACAATTTTATAGGATGTAAAAGTTTGAAGTTATCTAGAACTTCATGAAATGGATCGTCGTTTCCAAGGTTTAACTATGTTTGTTTTTAATTTCGGCAAAGGGTTAAGCTGGGTCGGCTCGTAACTTTCGATTTCCTTGCCAATTCCCTTCTCTAAACACCACTTTTTCCAAACCGAAAACCAAAAAGCAGTGCTTTTTACAGTGTTTTCGTTGTTTGAGCTGTTTTTCGGCTGAGGTGGCAAAAGAAAACCTACTTAAAACGCCAGCCATTCTTTCACTCGCAAATTTTTAAATTTTCAAATTTTGTTGCGACATCCAAGGCTCGCATTTGATTGGCTATCTGTGAGTTTCTTTGATTATTGATCAATCAGAATGTCTGATTTGTTACTTTCTTTGCACTGAATTAACCCTTCTCTGCACTGAATTAACTCTCTTCTGCACTGAATTACCTGAAAACTGCATTTATCTTAACTAATCAGAACTGAACTAAAACTCCATTTTTCATTACGATATGCTTCTCTGAATTGCAGCAAAAATCAAGAAAACGCCATCCTTCTGGATGCTCTATATTGCGAAGGCATTCAAAGATTTTAATCTAATATTTTCCGCTTTCGTGGGTAGTGCAGTATACACTGCCCTACCACTACCCACAATTCCAGCTTTTAACGTGTATGCCATTGACGTTGTGAAAAAAAGCTTTGGGATATTTTAAAGTAAACTTATTTATCTTTATAGTTTTAAAATTTTCTCGCACACTTAATGTACAGGTTTATTTCCTACTTTTTAGTTTTCATAGCCAACTTTGCAAAAACTTAGATTAAAAAAAAAACAAAACAAAATTTCTTTTTTATGAGGATCATCTTAATTACGAGACGAACTAACTGTGCAATAATAAAATGAGAGGCTCGTTTAATAAAGGATTGCTTTCTTTGAAACCCGTGGTTCATATTATACGGAAACTGCTGGAATTCTTACCCACATTAGCGCAACAGACATTAAAAACAGAACGCATGAAGGCATTCGATCATCGGAGGAAGCAACAAACTCGTTGTCTATCTGTTTTCTTAATTCTATTCCGAATTGTCTCATCAATGTTTAAGAGCAGGTGCAAGAGAAGTTTATTTGATCTAGTAGTGAGTTTGTTTTGAAATAATGTTTTCGGAGAATGTTCTATAGATTTAATCAAAATAAGCCTTCTGACCAAAATGGTCAAACTTTTTTTCGAGGTATAAATACCTCTTACTAACCAAGTTCCAATTTATGGCCCAAGGGGGAGGCGAATAAAACGAAGTTCCGTATCTTATAGTACAGACCGAGAAAATGAGCTTGGTAAGATATTTAGTACATCTTTGGGTTAAAAGAGTAGGGGAAGATTTCAATTCAAGCAAACTTTTGAATTCAGGAGGCCAGTTAGTGAAATACCACCCGCTTAATGGACCAGTGATAGCCCAAGTAGTAACTGAGAGACAAAATAACCCAACCTGACAGTGGACAGGTGGATAAGGACGTTCAGTTGTTATTATGACGAATTTTCTCGATTGAAGAAATTTTAGCATTATTGCGGGATTAAATTATAGATACCCCTGCCATAACTCACTCAACAATGCTAAAAAAAAAGTTTTATCCTGAGACCTTTGAAAATTTTCAATCTGTATTTCTATTTCCATGGCTTAAAGAACAAAAGAAATAGAAGTAAAACCGTAACGGTAACTTTTGACCCTCTTTATTGTATTCTTTTTCAATTTATAATAATTCTTGTTCTCTACCTTAACATGTAGCGAAGGAATCGTTGTTTGAAACGAAATAAAAACACACAAATTGTTACCGTAACGTCATTATTTTTATCGTATTTCAGTACATGTAACTTGATTTAGGAAACGAGTAGTTGAGTAAGTGAACGCACGTGTTTGGATATTCTCCTCCGCAAATATTGGTATTTAAATTTATGTTATATTGTTTCGCTTTTCAATATCCTTTTACGTTTCTAAGTTTTGTTTTCAGTTGACCTTTTGCTTTACGTGGAAGGGGAAGCACCGGTCGATCCAAGAATTTCTATGAAAGGGCAATTGAAATCTGATGAGGGAGATCTCGCAAATCCGTCGGATAACGAAAACCGCGTTTTTTCCCAATGGACCAAAAGCTTTACTAACGTACCGGACTTTAGATTCCCCAATCTTTTTAATTACTTGGTGGGAAAAGATCCCGTATACAACAGCGAAAGCCTAAAAAGTTACAAATCTCTATTGGGGTACAAATTATTTTTTGATGGACATGTGGAAGAACTTTGGTATCACCCACCTCAACCCAATAGTAATTAGTTATTTTAAGTTTGCTGTAAAGCCAACTGAAAAATCCAAGGCTGATGATGGTTCAGCAACATACAGAGGGTTTTTCATTTTAAAGAAGGATGGAAGTGTCAATTCAGCCTACTGCTTATGAGAAGGAGGGTATGTATTTTCTTCTTTTGATTTTCTGAAGCCTTTCTGTGTGCTTGACATTCCATAAATATACGTTTGAGAATCAAAACGTTTGGTCTTTTCAGTTGTTTATTCTCTGTGAAAGGTTTTGTTTTATTCAGATTCGAAGGTTTATATTTCCCTTGTAGCAGTTGTAACATGAATAAAAAATAAATGCCTCCTGAATTGAAGATCTAAATCACTGGATGCATTATTTTAAGTCTCAAACCTTCTGGATCATTTATGACTTCAGCACTAAGTATTAAAACAGTAGTTCAAAGTCAGAATCTGTGAGCGTAGTAACTGAATTTATTGGCTACTTTACAGTCTATCAGTGTGAACAATGTGAGATAAATATTTGTCATATTGGTCCTCCTTCAAACAGGGCAGATGGAGGTTGCTGTCACATAGCTGCAGCATTGTTTGATCTATTATGTACATCAGGACAGTGCATGTGGAAAAAGAGAGGAAAGAGAAATGAGGGAAGTTTGCCCATTCAGGACCTTCAAACAAGTGGTAGTTACGGTGTGACATTGAAAGACCCAATTCACCCGAGAGATTTCAATGTAATTTGTATTCCTTATAATGTGACTGAACTGGAACAAGATTTTCAGACTGGGTTGCAGGAAACATGTCCTAGCTCTTCAGCTCTGCCTTTTTTATCTTCAACTAAAGGACCCAGGCAAACAGAGGAAGAAGACAGAGGAAGAAGTCAGAGCTTTCATCAGCAGTGATATTAATGTCTGTAAAGAAGAAAGTGTTCAAAGTGTACATGTATATTCATTGAATGATTATGCCAAAGTGTTTGTTTCTGTTAATACTGAAAAAGTGATGCCAACAGTTTCTAAAGAACCTGCAATTGAATTCCTTTAGTCTATTCCATTTAACAAAGAGGAAGCAGAAATAATTAACAAGAAAACTGTCTATCAATCCCAGTCTCAATTTTGGTTTGATCAAAGGGCAGGAAGAATTACAGCTTCCTCGTTTTACATTGTGTGCAACCTTAGAGAGAGAACAGACAGAAGAAACACTATTAAACATCTCGTGAATTACTATCCAATTGCTGAAGATGGCATGCCACAACAGTTGACATGGGGGCATGAAAAAGAAAAGCGAGCACTTGGTCTTTACAAAAAAAAACAGAACAAAATTCATGAGAAGTTGTCAATAGAAAAAAATGGACTCACTGTAAACACATTATGGCCCTTCTTGGAATAAGGATTTGCACTTGCTGCCAAAAGAAGTTAATTGAAGTTAAAAGCGTGTATGCAAAAATAAATCTCCCTCCATATGTTGCAGCTGAGGAGAACTTCATGCTGGTGGATGGCAAGTATGAAATTAAAAAAGAAACCAAATGGAACTACCAAATCCAGGGACTTCATTGCTGTGATCTAGTTATTTATACCCTCAAAGGAATATTGATTGTAAACATCAACTTTGATAGTGATTTGTGGAATGAAATGCTCCAAAAGCTGAGAAACTCCTTCGTGGAGTATGTAGTTCAGGAACTATTCCACCATGACATACTGAAGTCATTATAGAGTGACTGCCATTAGATGCTGATTGTCAAAGTGAAGGTGCTTAAATAGTGTTTTTTGTCTGTGCTGGATTAGATACCACATAATTTTATTGATCTGTCTCTAGATACTTTTAATACATGTTTCATTTACCATTTACATACACTAAGTTGCAATCACTTCCACGTCACAATAACATGGTGTGCTTTTCTGCTCTCTGGACAAATGCGTCAGTCATTTGGCCAGTGGTGGTAGCAAATTGCACAGAGCAGCACAAACACTTAGAATATTGTCTGCAATAGGTAGCATTTGAAGAAGGAAGTTCCCTTGTAGAGTTCTAAAGTCCTTAAGAAATCCAATAGCTCGTTCAACGTAGATCCGAACACTTGCAATGGTACGGGTAGATTTTACTGCCTTTTTTGAAAGTTGCTTTCCTGTGTAAGGGGAGAAAAAAGGATTTTTAATGAAGTAAATACCAATTCAAAAAGTACTGATAGTAAAGTACTTGCTTTTTTGGAAACCTTTTCTCCAAACAAAACCTATACTAAATTACTGGATGGGTGGAAGTGGCAAACCACTGCCACTGCCTCACACCAGCTTTTTCTGAGTTTTCTGGATCCACCCCTGGTATGTAAACATGTTTGGAAGTTAGTAGAGACTACTTTTATCTTTGAGCAGTTCAACTTAACCCTATAATATGAAAAATATTCCAAAGAAACTTCTCCTGTTCAGTTAGAAAGATCCTTTTTACGAGCAACAAGTTATGGATGCTGTTATATCTGTTTTTTTTACTTTGTCCAGGGAGACTTTCTCTTTGATCTTAGTATACCCTCTTTCACTCTTACCCCGTTAGCTCCCTTTATTGGACAGGTACCTTTGCAAAGTGGTGGGATATTAAGTGCAACTTTCTTTCTTGTAAGCAGATCTCTGATGTTGAACCCCTTGTCGGCCATAACAGAATCCTCCTCTTCAAATTTGTCGAGTAGACCACTTCTTTCTGTAATGTATCTGTCACTGACATTTCCAGTCCACAGTTTAGAAACAAAGGAGAAGTAATCTGTTGGAGTGATTCCCACCAGTGCTTTCATGTTATTGTGCTGTTTATAGTTACTCCATGTAGCTCTCTGGGCACTAGGGGATGTGGCTTTTGCAAAAATATCTCTGTGCAATCTGTTATTATTCGAGCGCTTGGAAATTTATTAAAAGAACTTGGCAACTTTTTCTTAATTTCTCCCTTACAAGGCCATTTAAGAAGCATGTCACGAAAAACTGTAGATAAAAAGCAAATCCACGTTGTGAAAACTTTGCTAACTGATCCTTCTGATACTCCAAAGATATCTGTTAGATGTCTGCTTAAAAGCCTAAGTCTGAGTCTCACCAAAGTTAAGATACATTCCTCTATAATGGTCAATAATCTTTGCTTTCCAGGCTTTTTTTACTTGAATCTTTTTGATAGCTCACTTCTTTTTCTTTGTTTTTGTCCCAATACTTAAGTTTTTCTGCAAACGGCTTAACCAAATTAAATATCATCATAAAACAAGCAAGGCTAGGTATACCTGTAAAAAATTTGACAGACTCGTCATCTTTCAAAACATCATCCACAAAGACCTCTCTTTTCAATTGTTTTTTGTTTGATAACTTTGATTTAAGTTCGGCGTTCTCTCTTTTTAAAGCATCAATTTTACTGGTTAAAATCTAGATCTTCATAAGGAAAGTCCGTTTGTGTTCCTTTGTCGTTAGGAAGAAGGTGGCAATAATTGTGATCTAAAAGGGCTACATCGTCGCTTAGGAAACAAATGTCTTTGTCTTCCTCGGTAAGACTTCTCTTTTTAGGTTTAAAACATTTTTCATTAACAGCACGTCTCTTTCTATCCTCCAGTCTCTTTTCACGGGAAGAAACACGACATTGGTGGGTCGAGGGATTAAATTATTCCGGTATTTCACCTGAAATAACTTCTTTTCTTCTGCAAAGCGACTTTTTGATGGATGAAGCCTCGAAGTGTGCGTTGCAAATCCGAGGGTTTTTTTTTTATTTTGGAATTCGGGATCACTACGTCTACACAAGTTTTTCCATAGCCTTCTAAAATGCATTTCCGAAGGAAAACAGAAAAAGGAAAGATCCGGACGATTGAATCGTTCAAGCAGTTTGCCACCGAACAAAAATTCACCATGACTTTTGCAAAACTTGGAGCCTTTCAACTTACAATGAAGACAGTGAATGCATTTGTATTTTTTTTATTTTCCCAGCGGTCCCCTAAGCTTCGCTTACATGCAAGTACCTAGTTCTCAGGAGCGCGCGTCCAAGAATTTCGAAAGGACCCCATTGTGTCTTGCTCGGTTTTGTCCAGAAGCGAACTCAAGAAAAGCATTGTTTCCTTGACCTCACGATATTTGTATTTAATTTTTCTTGCAATTGCGAGAACGTAAGAACAAACTTAAGCTCCGAGCATAAGTTTGTTCTTACGTTCTTCCTCAGCCTCAGGTCAAAATGAAATGCAGTCCACATTACTACCAGTAGCTACAGCCCTTCTTTTTTAATTTACGTAGATTAAAATTCGCAAGAAACTTTTAATTTTAAAACAATCAGACTAAAATTAAAGTGACGGGGAAAAAAACGATGTCCTCTTTATTGTTGTACATGTACTTCTTTCTACAGAAATAGGAAAAGTGCATATGTCTATCTTTATAACTACACAAAATTGTAGATCTGACTCGACTTCTCTTGTGCGGCTTCTTTTTGTTTGGGGCTGGGAATGTATTTCTTCCAGGGAAGGCATTTCAGCATCTAGAATAAATAAAATTGGAAAAGTATTGGGTTGAAGATGTGTCTGGGTGTCAAAAAAGAAAATATATAATTATATAAAATAGAAACTAAGATCACCTTTTCACTCCTCAAACTTTCATTTTTCGGTTATAAAGAAGATAGCTCTTATTCATTTATTTATTTATTTACTTTTTTTAACTGAAGATTAATGGTTCCGCATGTTTCGCTGGTTCCGGAGGTTCCACAGTCTGATGATCTATAGTTTAATAACGCTAGATGAGTTGTTATGCTTTACTTTGGACGGGATCACAATCATGTCTCTGTTATCATATCATAGCTAGCGCAAAACAGAATAAGATAGAGGCTTACACATCTTAAACTTATCTGAATTTACGGCGCTCTCTGGCGTAAAGATTATAGACGAAGTCCTCAACATGTTTTGATCATTTTTAGGACATTAGATTACTATGGCAAAAAACAGCCCCACTACACTCACAAAAACGAATTCGATAGCCCCTAAAAAAAGTAAATGAATTGTGATCAACATGACAGTATTTCATTTGATGCTAAGTTCTCAAAAAAATCTGTACGTAATGAGCCACCTTAAATTCTCAAAAATAAATCTGCTCTGAACTGTATGTACATCTTTTTTGGAAAAAAAATTGCAGTTTTATACATACTTATACATAGTTCCTTTCGAAACGGATTTTTTAATATTAGCAATCAAAAACATGGTATTTACCTCAATAATATTGTCCTTTGTAAAAGGGGCCTTGAGGTTTTCCTTCGGCCTAATGTATGCTTTGTAAGGACGATCCTCAGGCACAAATATTTCTACTTCGTCTGGAAAAGGACTGTCCACGTCCAGCTGCCACAACTCTTGAGGTTTTCCTTTTAGATAAGGTGGCATCTTCTCAATATTGGTAAAAACGCTTAAACCTGACGGGAGAAAAAACAGTAATCGATCAGAACGAATAACTACACCCATTTTGCAAACTAAGATATTATATACGTATATTCTCTATACGAAATTATTGTCAGGAAATACTTACTGAGAGTAGGTTGACGGAATGTTTATCTAAGGATTTTAATGCCATATACATTGCGCTATCGAGTATAATTAAGTCAACAATGGGAATGAATGGTTGGCGAAAACAAATAGAGGTTTATCTATTGCAGAATTTAGCTTACAACGGTTGCTGAAATAAACGCTTTTTATTCCGCGAAATAAGGGAAGTATGTTCTATTGCATACATGGTTGTTTTGTGACCGATTAAAAGTGCGCCCTGATTAGTTAATTATAGAGCACCACGGATTGTTTTAACTTCCTCTTTTGAATCTGCCATTTCGATTCAACAAGTTGAAAGTAAAAACATTCCAATGTAGAAATGTCTTGCTTTAAAAAATTGGTTTTATATAGGATTTAGCTGTGTATCCATCTACTTCAGCTACATTTAAAACCAACAAAAGTACACAAATATTACAAGACAAATTAAGCGCGCATACGAGGTTGTGAACATGATTTGCATTGCCTCTGGGTAAACAATTAAGAGAGCGTTAACATCAAAACAAGTCTTAAATGCACGAAACCTCTCTAAATGTTAGTAAGTAATTTTTTTCATCAAGCAGTTAGCTAGTTTACTCATTATTCCGATACATGGGGTATTTTTTTAGAAAAAATGTCACTGCCAACCATCGGTAATCCATATGGTGATTTCTAAGATGTCTACAGAAGTAAACTGCCTTCAGGCCAGCAAAATATGAAATGTTAATACCAAACCATGGAAGAATCTCCTTTGTTCTCTCCGAAGAGTACAAAAAATCGAATCTCATTTTCTTTTCCACCTCCTCATCTGTCTTCCTCATGATGCTTTCGTAGAGAGATTGAGTAAGAAGTTGGATTCTCTTTAGGACGACTTCACTAACAATGGCCTCATGTTTACTACCTTTCCTGATCAGTTTCAAACCATTTATCTTTTTCGTGTAAGTAATCTGGAACCACTTTCTTTCATCAAGGTTTACAAGAGTCGGTTTTTTTGGAGCCATGTTGGCACTTTCTAGATGAATATATATCTTTATCGATAATGCAGCTGCAATGTCGGTAATGACGTGCATGCACAACGTGTTATTTTGGTTACTAACAAACATTTACCCTAGAAAATTAATATTCATGATATATTACTAATATTGTTGTCCTCCTATTTCAAATAAGGGTTGAATTAAAATTCTAGATTCTAAAACAGTTCTTTGAATAAAAGGTCAGATAAGAACAAAACCTTATTAGGATAAGCAAAGTAGAGGCAAACTAAACTTTTGCGCAATGATAATCGAACGAATCTTTACCTCTTTGTTATCATTTAGCAATTAATTAAATTCATCTCACGTACTGATACAGTGAAAAGGCCAACAATATAGCCTATGAAAATAATTTTCATTGTCATGAAAATTTAATCAGAAGGGAGAGAATAAAAGTCAACCGTCCGTTTAAGATCCATCAAACAAACCGCGAGTGCCTGTCTTCAAGGTAAGGTAAGTTGGATTTGTGGGGCTATGATAATATATAATCACTCAAGTCGGACCTGAATCGACAAAGAAATATTTCTAGATTAGAGTTTTAGTATAAGAAGTGCTAAATTTGCTATATCGCAGCTAGAGAGAGACATCAGAATTTCTTGCGTGTAGGAGAGCCGTACGTTGATTCACTATGCTTAAATTGCGTGGTGTTGTTTGAAAAGTTCTGAAAGCTATACGATTTAGAACAAAAGCTTCAGTTGAACAATACTTTCAGGTCTATAAGGACAAATCAACCATGACACTTTTTGCGTTTGGGAATCTAAGTAAATAGTAAGCTGTAAAACAAAATACGGTAGACTTTGCGCTATTTGAAGCATAACCACCATGGACTATACGTCAATGGAAATGTTATGAAATGAACTATTCGGCAAAACTTATTTCGTTTTAGCTTATGACAACAAAAATGAACGGTAAAACACGACGTTTGGACTAAACTTCGGTCAAGTGAATAGTAAGACTCTCACTATTAATATATATATATATATATATATATATATATATATATATTAATCGTGATATTAATATATATATATATATATTAATCGTGACATTCTTACTATTCACTTGACCGAAGTTTAGTCCAAACGTCGTGTTTTACCGTTCATTTTTGTTGTCATAAGCAAAAACGAAATAAGTTTTGCCGAATAGTTCATTTTAATTTTATCGTCAAATGGTTACGAAATCGCTACTGATAAGAGTTTTTGCTTATCTAATCGTAAACCGATTGGATCGCGACAATTAGAATGTTTCTTTGAGCAAATTAATCGTATATTAAATCTGAGCGCACAAATAAAACTTCTTTATCTGTTGTGTTTGCCAATCAAAAGTTTACCGATACGTATTAAGTCGGAGGCCATTGCGGAGATCAATTTTTAAAAACGGAGTTTTCCCATACAATTTTTTAGGTTGGTATCTTAGAGTCAGGGAACAATTTAACAGCAACCCGTGACAAACCTTTGGTTCCATTTTGCTGAACTGCAATTTTGATTTCAACTTTTTTTTTCAACCTTAAAGCGGTCTCAGCACGCCGCGGAAAACTTAGAGGTTTCTGATCGTCTGCAAGCAGCGAAGATTGCCTAAACACGAGTCTTTATCCGTTTCGGTGAGATTCTCTCCTCTTTATGCTTCAAATTTCTTCACTTGTTCTGACAGCCAGGCTTCTTTTTTCACCTTCAACCAACGACTCTTCTCCTTTTTGTCTTTCCCCATTCACATTCTAGTTTTAAACGCAGACAGACAGCAAAG